GAAATCATAATCCTAAAAGGTAAGCCCTGGGTTAATTTAGACTATAATTTCTTAAAGAGGTTATATGTCTTATTTAATATAGAATCCCCAAGGAAATATAAACCTCTCTTTAAAGAAATTTGATACGTGACTCTCCAGTAGCACATCTGAGTTGATACATTTTCAAGTTTCCTGTAGCATTCATTTAAGTTCCTCTGCAACATATAAAAATTCCCTAAGATTTTTAGTAACATATCTAGTATATGAAGCAAAATGTACATATAATATTAGTGAGATATATACTTGCAATTTTTGAAATAGCCCTTAAATATTACCTGAAAATCAGAAGCCACCTCCTTCTGAGGACTGCAATTAAAAAAAAAAACAAGAAAGGGAGAAAGAAGGAAAAGAAGGAAGGAAGAGGGGGTGGAAGGAAGATAGGAAACAGAAAATAAGAAATGGAAGGAAGCAAGGAAGGAAGAAAGGAAGAAAAGGAGGGAGGAAGGGAAGGATGGATGGATTAAGAATGGTGGTCCAGGTACTACTCAACTCAACTTGCTACTCCTAAATTTCAATACTATGAACATGTAATAAACATAAAAGGACAATAAAAGTTTTAGATAAACTACCAGAGAGCTGATAATGTGTGATGAAAATTAAAAACAAATATTTTTTAAATGTCCAGTTGAAGTCTTAAGACAAAAAAAAAGGAAAATATTTATAAGCTGCTGTGAGAAATAGCTTCCCCAGAGGGACCTGAAGCAGATAGTTTTGATACACTGTATATTCTGGGTATGTAACTTTACATAAGCTACCTATTTATACAATTTTAAGGCAATTGTAAAGTTCAACTTTGCTTATTTGTGTAGTACACTGTCTCTGAATAAATAAACTAACTTTGATGAGCAGACTATTTAACTTACTAGAATGTGGTAAAAATAAACTGATAGACAACCTTTTTTGGTAAGCAAATTATGCTGTTGTTATGCTAGTTGTTTAGGGCTACCATTTTGTGAAAATGTCAGGTATGAAGGGGATATGATGAATACTGTAATTGCTAAAATAAGTAAATGATTTTGCCTTATTCTTTTTTCAAGGTAATTATGATATTTTCTCATAGAGGAAAATGCTTTGTCTCTTCTTCACTCTAACATATTTTGATTTTTTTCTGCTTTGTAATGGTTATTTTATAAAATGTTTGCATTAATAATTGCATTATGAATATATTTTCTAAATAAGCTGGTTTACCTCTAGGATTTATTTCAATAACATATTAGATTTATCTTTGTTATTTTAGAGCTAGAAACATTAGCAATTTCCTTTGGAAGTGTAATTCTGAAGAACATCACATAATGTTAATTCCACTTAAAATATTTATAAGATGAATGCATGAAAATAATTCACTTATATTTAAACCAATAATGAAACATATGCATCCCAATGAGAAGTAACAACTTGAAAGTCTATACATTTATTACAGTCAGCTTGCTATTGCTCAACACATCTCAAAAGTTTTCAAATTGTTTCCATGTTACTCATGAAAAAATGTTCCCCATATATTACTTTATAACCACACACCATTTTAAAATATTATTTTGGCCATTACTTATTCCCTTTACCCATCAGATTTGGCTAAAAGTTTCTCTTAGCTGTTTCTGAACATTAAATCCATGCTCAAAATCTCAAAATGGCAATAAAGATAGAAAAAATACATTATATATATATGCACATATATATACACACATATGTGTGTACTATAATACACATACACACACTTTATATATATGTATGTGTGTGTATAATGTGTGTGTATATGTATATTATATATACATATGTGTGTATATATGTTTGTATATGTACACACACATATGTATATATATACATATATACACACACATACACACATAAACACACACACATCATTGTAATTAAATAACCTTACAGGGACATTTAATTGAATGACAAGTAGGCAACACTCATTAATGCACTGATTCTGGTGTATTTTTAAAAATCATCCACAGTACAACATATGTATCTTCATCTTCTATTTTTATCCATATCGATACTGAAATGTGATGCAAAGAATAGTTCATGATTTTTTTCTGTTTACATTTCTATTATGGAAATGATCACTTCATTAAATACTTAAAATTGCAGTTATTTGTAAGACATGGTTTAGACAGTGTAGCTCATTCTGTTAACTGATGTGCATGTACACATCACATAGAAAAATTTTCCAGATGGGAGTGACCTTTAAGTTGTGGATTGAAGAATACATTTGATTTAGCAAGATTTACAAAGGGGCAAAGATAAGTCATGAAAAAGGATCAGCAGTTAACAAAAAACTGGAGGTTGAACATGTATGATATTTTTAAGGAGTTCCAAGAATTTCATGCCAGATATATATCAGAGGGCATATTTGCTGAGAAGTCAGTGGGAATTAAGTCAAAATGTTAAGGGTCTAGACTTTTTTCTGTTGATAAAAAAGAGCCACTGACAGGTATTAAGTAGCTGAGTTTCATGATAAATTGTGTGTATTAGGAAATGACACTGTTAGGTAGAATGAAAATGAATTAGGAAGGGCCAACCAACCAAACAAGTGGTGGAGCCAATATCTGAATGCAAGTCTGTCTGATTCCTCAGCTTATACTCTTAATAATATGTTTGACAACCAGGTCTCTGTTAATTAATTTCTGGACTCAGTACAGGGTAGATATTAGCTATTCTAATGATGGTGGTGGTTATATTAATGATTATCAAAGTGCTCAATAAATATCTGTTAAATTTTAAAATGATTGAATTAAACATTCACTACTATTAAAGTTTATTTTTTTAGGACCATGTAAAACAAATTATAAATTACATGTTCAAAACATGCTCTTTTAATATGTTTGGTTAGGTTGGACAATTACTATCAATGTTCCTTTGGTATCTCTGAGAGAGCCAAATTTTATGATAATTGCGATGTTGAGGACACAAAAAAGAAAAGAATCTCTATTCCTCAAGAAGTAGGCATCCTCTGCAGCTAATTTCCTGTTCAGTCATTTCATCTTCACCTAATACCAATCTTAGAGAAAGACAGGAAAGGTGGGGAATCTCTTTAGTCATGAAAATGCCAACAACAATCTTAAACTCAAAATATAACCTAGACTATTCAGCAGTTGGGAATACAGTGCTTTAATTCTAAAGAGTATATTAACTATACTGACTAAAAAAAGGTTCAAAACCTGTCAGTGAATTAATAAAAGGTGAAAAAGATAAAAACCACTGTTTGAACAGTTTTAAGAAGACATTACAAATCTTAGATAATAAACATCAAAATAAGTAAATATGTATTTTTTTTAAAACAGAAAGGGAATTTAAGTTTAACATGAACTTAAGAAGAAAAATTCCCATTATAAATTATGTTCTGTGTGAAAAGAATTTGCAGGCCAAAAGGTCTTAAAGAATGTTTTTTTCCCAGTGAAAATATTTTCTGTTCTTTAGCTAGTTATTGACTTAGGCAGCAGGGGAAAAACAACTGCATTGGATAATGGAAGATGTGTTGCCTTTTTTTTTTTTAATCATTAAAAACATGACTATAAGCTGTTTGGTTGCTTAAGGTCAAAATTATGAAAAATTATTGACATTACTGATGGTAAGCATGACAGTTGAAGAGTATCTAAATAACAAACAGGCAATGCTGATTATGAAGTCCTCACATACAATTTCTAATGATTAGTGAAAAAGCACACTAATTTGTGAGATGCAGTATTTTGAAGGTCATTCAACTTTCCACTCGCTATAACGCCATTCAATTAAACACACAATAAATTTTAAAGATTATTTATGAGAAGAATTTTGTAATTCTTGTAAAATAGTATATTACAAATCTTGGCTGTGTATGTAATCAAAAACACCTGACTTAATGCACCATTAAATGAACTGTAGCTTTGCTGTACATTTTTTTAAACATTAAACTAATTATGATGAGTTTTGGTTTTACGATACACTGCATATTGAACTTTTTAAAGAGGCTATCAAATTCAATCACAAGATACAACTCGTTTATGCTGTAAGCAAACACATGCGATATTAACAATATACAATATCCTGGCTTAATTAGAAAAAGTTCATGTTATCTTAAATACGTTTAGGTGCATAATACCACACAGCTATAATTTGAACTTGCCATGTAATTATATTTTAAAACTAATTTGTATAACCTACTTCTTTTTTTCTCTCTCTCTCCTACACAGAATGTTGGTCTATGGATCCACTTAAAACTAGATTTTGCTGAAAATGAATTTTAAAAGATTGAGTGTCTTAGGGGGAATGGAGGATTAGGGGTAAAGGTGTCAACTACAGACAAGAAATTTTTTAAATTTGATTATCCGATGGTGTTCTGCTGATCAGTGGGCTAAACTGTACCCTACAAGGATCCTTTCTGGCAGTTTGTCTCTGGGCAGTAGCATAAAGCTTAATGAATACAATCTACTTTTTCAAACGTTGATGTCTTTTCAAGTCTCTTTCCTCTCTTTTTCTCTTCATTTCCCAAGGCCACGATATGCATGAGAAAACCATGAATCTCTTAATATAATCTCCAAATATAAGCAGTGAAGCACCTCTATATGAGTATCATATACCATATCAGTATACAAATACCTTGGGCATATACAAATATACTTGGCATCATCTATCAAGGAGTAAAGGCGGTATATAAAGGCAACCAGTATAGCCTAAACTTCATGAACTCTTTTGTTCCCAAAGCTGCTGACTATGCCCTCTACACTTGGGTTTCCGGCATGAGCTAAAGGGAAATCTTTAATATTTGCACCAACAATAATATCCACATGAAGTCGTTTAAAACCAATTAACAGGTATAAATTTTGACATGGGAAGTCAAATTTACTGTTTAGCTACTAATAGCATGAAATGTAACAGTATAACACAAAACAAGTTAGTTCCTGGAGGACAGAAAGCATTTACGTCAGAATTTCATCTTACAATATAATCCAAAATAGGTAATAAAGCTTGTTTACCTTCACAAACTGTGATGCCGTTTCCTGAAAATCCCATGTTGCAATAGCAGGCTTCATTTCCATTGTATTTTTCACATTTTGCATTTCGGTGACAAGGTGTCTTGGCGCAATTTTGAGTATGGGAACAATTCAACAAAGTGGAAAAAACCACTAAATAAAACAGAGAAATACACCTTTTCAAAAAGTAAAAGAAACACATCTTCCTATTGCTGAATTAGAGTAAAATAAACATAAATTCTCCTTTCTTTCTATTTAGGTAAGTGGATTATAAATTTTTCCCAAGGAAGCACTTTGTTAAAAGTAGCAGCACAAAAGCAAGTAAGTAAAACTTACTTTTAAGATAAAGCCTTTTTTTTTTCAATTTCAACCTTTATAAGGTAAATCTCAACAAAGCTAAAATGTGATAAACAACTCAGCTTTATAATAAAAACTGTGTTCCTAGATCAGTGTAGCATGTTGATTCAGAGTTACCCTTCATTCTGAGGTGAGATACTTTGAAAGGGAACTGCCTAATTGTAAAGCAATTTCCCTCCTCTGGGAGGAATTCTGTGTAGAAAGGTAGGTAAATTGAGTATTTGGGTTTTTGCAAATTCAAATCTGTGTTATTTTAAGATGGCATCTTATCTAGGAGAACAAATGTAATTGCCGTTTTTTTTCTGTGTTCTAATGATTGTTTTCAATTTTGTCTTATTCATAATAAAATGTATTTCACTTTTTTTTTCCATTAGGGGAAACATAAAAACAAAACAAAAACAAACTCAGCATTATAGTCAAAGATTGATCTTCCAGAAATGTAAAACACACAAATGTGACCAACAAAACTGAAACAAAACATAGAACAAGACTATACATCAGAGTTATTGAAATACACTTGGAAATCATATGTTGTAGACTGATAGGACAAGACAAGGAAAAGTTCAAAAGTTCCTTTTTTATTGTTTTTTTTTTTCTCCAGGTCTTCTCAAGAGTCTTGAGGACCAACAGCTATGAAATATGAGGTCATTGTTCTGAAAATAATCATCTAACATAAGTTGTCCTAACCAGTTACCAAGAGATTCTTAAGTATTCAGTTCTAAATCCTAGTGGCAAATAAGCGTATGTATACCGACTAAGCCGAAGTTATTTCACCTTGGCTGAAAGATGTCATTCACTATCTTTCTGCACAATATTGTCAAAATGAAGCTCAAATCTCGGCCGGCAATTCCCTTAGAATGCCAGGAAGCCGCCCATAAGTGTTAATGATTTGGATTTCCCAAATTTCTTTGGGGCAGAGCAGAAGACAGGTGAAAGGGGACGTTAGAGACTTCCTCAAGAGGAGTAAAAAGGTTAAGAGTCCCTAGACCTTGAATATTCAACTCTACAGTTGAAAGGTCAAGGAGAAAAACATCCTGAGAAGTACTAAATTAATTCACCTCAGAGATTTTGCCAAATCCACTTGCCATATGAGCTCCACCACTTAAAAAATTCCCGTCCCCTTTGAGGAATCGGTCCCTCCGAGGACCTCGGCGACCAGGGGCGCTGAGCACTCACCTAGGAACAGGAGGAGTTTCATTGGCGGCGGCCGCGGTGGTGACGGTGGCGGAGAGCGCGGCGGGTGAGTGCGGCTGTGGACCCGGGACACAGCCCCGCGGGGCGGGCGCGTCAGGGTCCCGGATCCGTCCTCCGCGACGCGTCGGCTTCCTCCGGACACTTTCCGGCCTCTTTTGTGTGAGTGTGTGAGTCAAGCCCCGAGTCCGCTGGCCACGTCCGGCCTCCATCCCCTTTCCCCACGCCACTTGGGCTCGGTTCCCTGCCTGGTGACCTCCGACCCTGATGTTACAGCCCCGATGAGGATCCGCTTGTACTCAGGCGCAGCTCCCAGAGGGCCACCCTAAGAGTGAGTATTTAAAAAGTAAAGGTCTCTGCGACCCATGGAGAGCCCTTCCGGAGAGAGCATCCAAAACTCAATAGGTTGTAGGGGTTTTCTCTGACAACTAAAGTTCAAGACATAGCCTTTAAAAAATATATACATATTTTTTAAAAATTTTAAAAAATTACTCCCTAGTAATTTTTCGTAAAGAACAAAGGGTCAAGCAGCAATCAGGAGACCTGAATCCATGCAAAGTGGCACACCACTGCTCAGTCCTCATCTTGCTGGGACTCAGGGTTGTCTCATGTAAAACAAGGATGTAATCTATTGTGACTTTTCAACTTTTCCCTTATCAACTCAATTTCAGGTAAAATTCACCTGTACCCCTTTTTTCGTCTGCAGAACAACTGGTGTATCATGTCCCTTTGTATATGTTAATATAGAACTCAATTATGTAGAAAGAGATCGTTCACATTGAAACATAGAAACAATTGTTGCTTAAAAAATTAAAAATAACTGCAGGGAAAACTAATGTATCATGACAGAAAATAGATCGATGGTTGCCCAGGTTGGGATGCAGAAGGGGAACTGACTGCCGAAAGGCACAAGGGGAATTTGAGGTGATGATAATATTCCATATCTTGATTGAGGTGATGGTTATGTGAGTGCATGCATTTGTCATAACTTATCCAACTGTATTATTCTTAAATTTGATACATTTTATTGTAAATAAGTTACATGAATTGTATTATATGTAAGTTTAAATAAAGCTGATTTAAAGAAAGCAAATGACTAACATCTTAATATTTTTGCCATCAACACAAGCCATTTTACCTTTCAATAGGTCACCTTTGTCACATTCCATTTCTATTCTGTTTAAAAAGTGACTAGTGCAAATTTACTTTGTGTTAAGAGCAACCTCAGAAAGATGAACACCCACGGGCTTACGAACTACTGGGGCAACAACTAAAACTATTCACAATCACATGCCACAAAGCGACTTATGTATTCACAGCAGTCGCAAGTGCTAACGTATTGACACATTTTATTGGCTCTCCATAGCATTTTCCCACACCCCTTCTAGGTGAATGTGGGCAAAAGTTCCTAAGAGTGGCACCATAATAGATGAGGCAAATGAGGAACAAAGGTGTTGTGTGACTTGCTCAGTCCACAGCAGCTCTTAGACATCTAGTCTAAGTGACTGGCCTTGATTCAAACCCAGACTATAAGCTCACAGTCCATGTTTTCTCTATTCATTCTAGAGTGACATTGTACTCAGGAGGCTGTTCTAAGAATGAGGAGTCTTCAGATAGTGTTATTTAGGGAGTTTGAAAAGGTGATTTAAAAATCCTAAATGCCATAAAAAGGAGTTATGGACTTTATTAATAACTTTTTTTCAAAGATTTTTTGTTTGTTTTCTTTTTTCAACTGAAAAGCAATTCAGTGAATCACTGGCAAAAATACAAATGATGGATTTTAAGGGCATACCAAAGGAAAGGAAGCAAGCATAAACCTATGAAGAGTTTAGGAAATAGATTATGAATGGCTGAACAAGGGTAGGCATATTTGTGATGGAGCGATAGGGACAGATTGCAGAAAGCATTAGATAAAGACAAAGTTATGTCTTCTTGACCCAGTAAAATTGAGAGGTATGGCTGGAACCAAGTTTTCTAGTTCTATGAATGAGAGAAGGTGGGAACCATTCACAAGGATAGAAAAGATAGGATGAGGAGTAATTTTGAAAGGAAAAATGAGTAAGGCCAGTTTGGTAATATAAAATTGGAAGTATTCCAACAACCTGAATTTATTTATGTGAAGCTAGTTTCTCCAGTTATATGAAGTTGAGTTTCAATGAACATACATAGAAACAAACTCCAAAAGGCATAAATACAGAAATAGGTTATTTTCTGAGATAAGCTATAAACTGAAACACAGCACTTATTTTTAAAAAATAATTTACTCCATATATCTGCCACACTTGCTTCATCTTCAATTTTATCCTAATGATAATAAAATACAGGCCAATCTTTAAAAATATCACTTTTCTCTAGACATGCTTTAAAATTAGCAAAAGTGAATTAACACTTCAATCTAAAACAAAAGTTTTCTATTTTTTCTTTTGCATGTGTGTTCTTATTAAAAGGCAAAAGTGTATTCATAGTTCTCATCAAGAAAATGATAGTGTAAAGGTGAGCATAAAGTGCTTAATGATGCTTATAGTTTTAATATTGTTCTTTGTAAAAATAAAATCACTTAAAAATGTATTGCTTGAAGGAGTCTGTATTTTTAAAGGAAAATATAGAAAATCAATGTATAATTTTGGATTCATTGTCTTGCACAACTTACAAAAAACATTTAGCAATTTCAATCCAAAAAACGTTTTGATTACCAGAAAGAAAAGGATATTTTTAAAAAGCATTCTCAAAGGAATATTAAACTATCAGGCTAAACTTTTCTTAACAATTTTCCCTTGGGTATCACTGCAGCATGTTTAACTTTGAAAGATATACATCACTTAGAGCTTGATTTTGGTCTGAACATAACATGGAAGTGAAGTCACTTTAAGCCACCTAGCTGATTGTGGTTTTGATGGAATATGCTAGTGTGAACACCCCTCTTGCAATGTAAGATCTTATCTGATCCATGATTAGTACTATCTTTGGTTTGTCCGTAAGTGCCAAATTAAACAGGATTTCCTTGAAAAGTTCTTGGACAGGTTGGAGTTTGCAATGGAAAGATTTAACTCTGAAGACCTGGGTTTAATTCTAGCTTTTATCTTGAGTAGAGTATTTAACCCTGTTGGGGATCATTTCACCTACTGTTAAATGAAAGTAACAGTATTTGCCCTGCCACATGATAGTGAGCTGCTAAGGTCATTCCTATGCATGTAAAAATAATCAGACATCCATACCTTTAACACTAAACACATTTAAATATAAGAAATTAGTGTGTAGTTGACATAAAAGCCTTCTCCAAAAGTGTATTTATTCCGCCCAGGATGACTGGCACTAGGAAGCTAATGCCATCTCTGGATTCGCTTTCTGAGGCCTTTGTACCAGTGTGTGGTTCCTCATCTAGACATCAATAATGCTATTAGACTCCAAGTGTTTGTCATGCTGTAAATATATCTCTCAGTATTAGTCATAACTTACCCATCATTTGACTTTTTCAACTTACTGAACTTTTGCCACCAATTTGTTTATTAAGGTAATTCCACATTACTACATATTTTCCTTATTCCCATAGTACCCTCATTAGGACAACAATTTACTGCAGTTTCTCACCTAAAAATATTGAGTTTCTTTTAGTCAAAACCAACATTAACAATGTACAGTTGGCACAAGTGCTATAGAAAGGTAAAAAATAAAAAAGAAAGAAAATTAAGTTACATATGAAGTAGGAAAGAGTAATATGACTAAAACATACTCAATGTTGAAATTAAGGAAAGCTTTAGCAAGGTGGAAGAGTAGAGAGGAATGCCCACGAAAGGAGAAGGGCTGAAGTTTCCAAAGTGGACTTGTCTGTTAATGGTTCTGAACTTCATCTCTTAGAACTCTCAAAGGCCAGGAAAAGAGTTTCTGTTTTTTGGCTTTCTGTTTTGTTTTGCTCCATGACACCTCATTCAGTCCTGAATGTGATAGCTATGGAATTTTAAAATGTGCTGATTGATTGAATAAATGAAGAATTTCTAGAACAGTGCATAATGAAATTTGTCAAAAACGCACATTTGTAGCTGGGTACAGTGGCTCATACCTGTAATTCCAGCACTTTGGGAGGCCGATGCAGGCAGATCACAAGGTCAAGAAATCGAGACTATCCTGGTGAACATGGTGAAACCCTGTCTCAACTAAAAATAAAAAAATTAGCTGAGCATGGTGATGCATGCCTGTAGTCCTAGCTACTTGGAAGGCTGAGTCAGGCGAATCACTTGAACCAGGAGGGCAGAGGTTGCAGTGAGCCGAGATCATGCCACTGCACTCCAGCCTGGTGACAGAGTGAGAGACTGTCTAAAAAAAAAATGCACATTTGTATTTTTGGAGACTATCTGGAAACTGTTTGCCTCAGAGGTCTTTTAGATTTTTCAGATGTATTTTACATCCTTGGAATATAACAAAGGTCAATTTTTTGCATTTAATTTTTTAAAAAGCCAGCAAAACATAGTTATTTAAAAAATTATTAGTAGGTCTAAAACAGTAGGAGAAATAAGTTGTTTCTTTTTTTTCCTTTTTCTTTTTTTTTTTTTTGGTCTAGTGCTAAACTGAGATTTTAACCAGTTGGCATAGAGAAGCTAGTGTGGAAAGCTGGCTATCTAGGAACTTGTGTCTTTCTAATCTATATTAAATCTATGTTTTTATAAAAAATAGATTATAATGGTTTCATACACATTTTCACTTATGCACTTTATCAGTTCATCATCTAATTATGAAACTCAAGTTGGTACCCAAAAGCATTTTAAAAATTGGGTTCTAAGACTATGAACAGGAACATTTGACTAGATTTTCTGCTGCTAATTTTTTTCAGTGGAAGGGGGTGCAAAAAGCATCTGGTAATTTTCAAAGTGTTGACTGGAAGGGAGGAGCCCCAAGTTCCTTCCCAGCCTGGTCATTCAATTGTTTTGTGACCTTCAGAAAAATCATTACATCTTTCCATTATTCTGCTTAACACATTTACAAATGTCTCTGTTTTGTATGGTTTTTCTCTCCTAGAGTTCCTCTTCATAAAGATTTGTAAACTAGTACCCACATCTAGGAACAAAGTTTCTTCTGAGGCAGGTATTGATGTGAAGAGGAAAAAATAAAAACACCTGCATCTATGCTAATTGTTTGCATTTTAACTGACTTGTAAATTATTTCATTAACTTATTTTTCTTTGTTTGGACATTTCTGTGTTATAAAATTATCAAGCTCACCTCATTTTCTAAAAGGGCAGCACTCCTAAAACAGAAACCAGGTGAAAAATCACC